CACGACAATGCACGTCCACATGTGGCACGTTTGACGCAACACAAAATTATGGAGTTTGTTTGGGAAGTTCTCCCCCACCCACCATATTCTCCAGATATGGCATCATCAGATTACCATCTTTTTCGTTCGCTGCACCTCCATCATAATGGGAAAATGTATGCAAATGTGGAAGGTGTTAAAGAGGACATCGACATGTTTTTTGCTTCAAATCCAAGTGATTTCTTTAATCAGGGCATTAACAATCTGTTTGTAAGATGGAAAAGCATCATCGATAGGAATGTAGACTATTTCGTTTAATAAATGTTTTGTTTTGATATATAAGTTGTTCGAGTTTTTTTCATCTAAAAAAAGGGGGCTAAGTAATTGTGTATTTGCATGCTCATGGGCTTTATTTTGATATGTTGATTAAAGGTTATTGTTAGTTAAATTTCGCGCATATCTACACGAAGGATATCTTTGGCTACACTAATCGAATATTGGAATTTGATCGTCACCATTATAACGCACCCACGACCCCAAAGTGTTTAGCGCATTTTTTTTTTCAACTGTAACAGGGTGTGAATCATGGAATCTCGGATCCACACTCCTGAACTTTAACCACTGGGCCACGTGTATGATGTTCAGGAAGCATAGATTTATGAGAAAATGTGCTGTTTACTTATGCTGTGATATATATTAATACAATATACAATGAAAGATGAAAACATTTATCATATAAATCAATTTATCTTTCACATTAATAAGATTGTAACATTATTAGACAAGAACAACAATGAATAACAAGCAACCAACAAGTTAGAGTATAAGAAACATGAAATTCATGAATACTAACTTGACAACATTTATACCAAGAACCAATAGACGAAGCGTTGATATAAAAGAGCCTCCAGAATAACCAATGAAAGTACTTCAAGGAGTAATCAGAATGAAAAGTTGAGTATTTTATTGATATAATTTGGGATAAACGCAGGAAACAATTGTCAGTTTGCTGTTTATCTTTATTAGTTTGTTTCGAATTTATGCACAAAGCTACACAATGGGCTGTCTGTGCTCTGCCCACCACGGGTATCGAAACTCGGTTTTTTAGCGTTGTAAGTCCGCAGACATACCGCTGTGTCTTGGGGGGCCTCTTTATTCGTTTTATGTTATTTTATAACAATAACAAAATAGCACATTTCTCGGTATATATTTGAGCCCATTATATATTCGTGGATTGATAGATGTAAGAATGTTTTTTTTATAAGTTGTGTGAAATAAAAAAATATTTCAAAACTTATATATATAAATAAATAAATAAGGTTACAATCCTCTCCGAAAATTGCTGTTTCATGAATATCAGAATTTCATTCCTCTATCTTAATCTCATTTGAAAAAAAAAAGAAAAGAAATATTGGATTTTAGTCGTGCTGTAAAAGGTTTGTACTCTCTTTTCAGGTGAACAAATCAGGTTTCGGTAGATGTCACATGATTAAAGGATCATGCAAAGCACGTGAGACGCAGCTTCTGTACTTTAGGTTTTAAGTGCTTATAAGAGAGTATTCAAATCAACTTACTTACTTTAACTTTCAGATAGGTTATAGTAAATATTGAAATTATTATTTGTGTTTTTTTAGTTCACTTATTACTCCATCAGATAATTCGCTTAATTTGAAAAAAAGGTTGCTTTTTTCTTTAAACCAAAAAAACATAGCATGAGCAGAATTTCGCTTCGAAAATTCCTATTACTATCTACATTGTGGACTGGAATATTCTGTAACTATGTATGTTATTCCATTATTGCCCCATTCTTTCCCCAACTGGTAAGTAAAGATTATTTTTCATTTTCGGGAAGGTAACTACTCTGTATTCCAAATGGCGTGACCCCTCACTTTCACAAGCTGTTTTATAACTATGCACTTAGTCTACCATATCTGGTTTACAATATGTATATCAATAACATAAATATGATCATAAATTACAATATCTGACACAGGTTACATATACCAATGTATTTCACGGCACGTCTTTAAAACAGGCAAGGGTTTAGAAAATAATAACTTAAGATATATAATGTTAATGGCAATATCTATACTCAGTTACTGTTATTGTGCTTAATATTGAAATAGAAAAACTAGCTAATAATTGAATATGTAAGTAAAAAATAAATATCTAAAAACTGAGTATTTAGTACAATGCTTAACTTATCAAAATATTGTAATTTTTTTAACATTAAATTTTTAGATACTTTTTATTGTAATTAATTTCTGTGGTGGATTCTTCAGAGATAAATATTTAAAAGAGAACAAAAATAACTATTAAAAATAAGAGTATTATTATATTAATAAAGTCTCAGTGAAACTACAAATAGCATAAACGTATATTAAGATATGATAGCTTTATTTAAAATATCCAAATTCCTGTGTGAAACTTATCAAATAAGGAACAGTTGTTGCTACAGCGTGTTCAAGAATGTAAAACTTTCAAAGATAAATTTATCCTAAATAAAAGGCAGACGTTTGTATTATTTATTTTTGAATTGCATATGTTCTTCTACGTAGTTTTACCTTTATACTATCGTAATTTTAGACTTAAAATAAGACCCAAAACTCGAATAGTTGACTATTCTTCTTCAGTAGAACAAAGATAATTTTGAAAGTCAGCATCAATGATTGTTTGCTTAGAGAAAATCCTACTCCTAGGCTATTTCTGCATAATAGTCCCTAATTTTCAACTGATAGACTAAATGGATGGCAGATATTCAACAAGAACTACCGTCAACTCTTGGGCCACTCTTTTGTCTGATTGAAAAGTGCTAATTGACTGGCATTTTATAGCGCACCTTACAGCCTCACGTTTTTATGAAAACAGGACGGAAACTATAAACGCTCAGATTCACAGAGTGGGCAGGTCTACCACTGAGTCATACCAACCAAGGCAAGAGTGAAGCTATAAATATTAAAGCAGAAAATAATTCGAACAATTGTACTTATCAACTTGTATATTTAGTTGAACTTTACAAGTAGTGTGAATAAGATAGTATTAAAGTATAACACACCGTACTTACTTGGGTACATACCAATAATGCAATACACAAATAATGTATTTAACGTTTACTACTTACTAATGAGACGCAAATCTCCTGGAGCACTGGATTGTTGTTTTTTTTAAATCAGCAAACTTTATTGTGACAGATGCTTTGTGTTTTACAAGCTCGCAAGTCAGGACTCTTATGTTTTTACCGCTTCATCATAATTTAAGCAAACGTACAGAAAAAGCACAAATTATTCTTGTGTCCTATTATATAAAACCTAAATATTATAATTAAGTTCAATTGCTTTTTAATTATAATTATACTTGCTTGTTTGTTTGTAATTAAGCACAAAGCTACACAATAGGCTATCTGGGCTCTGCTCACCACGGGTGTCGAAACCCGTATACTAGCGTTGTAAGTCCGCAGACATACAGCTGTGCCACTGAGGGGAATTATACTTGTAAATTCTCAGCTAAAATTTGTAATATCCTTTTATTTATTGACTCATTTAGGTTTTCTGTTAGTAGTTGTGTGTCAGGGCTGTCAACTCCGTGAATTTAAGGACTGTGGGGAAAAAAAAAAAAAAGACAGAAAAAGTTATATATTAAATCTGTCCGTAAACCCATAAATGGCAAAAGCCCCCAGTGGCACAGCGGTATGTCTGCGGACTTACAATGGTAGAATCCGGTTTTGATACCCCTGGTGGGCAGAGCACAGATAGCCCACCGTGTAGCTTTGAGCTTAATTACAAACAAACAAATAAATGGCAAAAATATATATTTTATTTTAATAATGTCAGTAAAAAATACAGCGTCACTTAAAAATTACAGAGCCAGTAAAACAAAAAAAACAAAAAAAAAACGCCCCCGTCTGTAGTTTAGTACAAACAAAATTAGAAGGTTTTCAAGTCTGATGTAAGTATGTCCAATTTTCTTTTTCATTTTAAAAAATTGTTGTTTTCTACCTCTAAAAAGTCACGAATGTTGTCAGTGCCTAGCAAGGTTGGACTAGTTTCGTTGAAAGGTAACATTCTGACCTGAGACGTGAAGGCCAGCGATATCATGTGACGCCCTAGGCAGTGCTTGAATCACTTACAGGAAGGTTTATATGTTTTTTTATTCTTATTTGAACTTAAACGAATTAGGAATTTTAATTCGCAAAAATTTAATTCGGCGCAAATCACATATTAAACTTAATCGTACTGTTAATCCTAATGACTAAGCAGAAAATTGTACGCTCAGTCCGACTTGTCTGTATCTAGTTGCGACCACTGTAGCTGCATTATAAGATTCTGTAGACACATTTAACACTTGTTTATTTTGTTGTTAAGTGCAAAGCTAGCTATTCCAGGGAGGGGCGAAGTTTTCCGGAGGGGGCAAAGTAGCGTGAAAGTGTGAATTGAATAAAAAGTCATATATATATATGCTGAATGAGTAAAGAAATAATAGGTGATGATGACAAAACCTTGTCGAAACGTTGTACATTTGCTGTTATGTTAAACTTATATTAAAGTTTTTCTTCATTACCCATTCAGGCCGTCTTTAACCATTATTAGTCTCAAAGTGGATTCCTCGTCATCGCGCAGAAATTCAAAACAAACAAACAATCAATGGTGTAGCCAAGGAAGGGAAGGTCGTCGGTTGTGAAATGTTTTCTTTTTGAATATCAACTCCATTTTGACAGTCACAGGAGATTAGATCTAATGTTGTAAGAACGGACGAACATAGCTTTATAATCATATATTCATATCCTGTCGCTTTTGTTAATGAAATCTGATATGAATCTCGCTATGGACCACGTAATGGACCACTATTGACTCACTCATTGCTTAAGCCTACATTTCTTATTAATTTCAGAAGAAACGCCCCCTAAAAACTTCCTGGCGAGTCGCACGTTGTTTTGAATAGCCGTCCCTAATTTAGCAGTGTAAGACTAGAGGGAAGGCAGCTAGTCATCACCACCCACTGCCAACTCTTGGGCTACTCTTTTACCAACGAATAATGGGATTGACCGTCACATTATAACGCCTCCATGGCTGAAAGGGCGAGCATGTTGGTGGGACGGGGATTCGAACCCGCGACCCTCAGATTGTGAGTTGAGTGCCCTAACCACCTGGCCATGCCGGGTCCTACACCATTGAAGTCATCTATCAATCTTAAAAACAAACACACAAACGAAACGCTTAGCTTTTTTTTTATAGTATACTTTTCCATATATGAATCTAATATTACATTAATAGTATCAGCGGTTGTGATATATTGTTTATTTACTCGAAAAATAACAAATCATATTAGAAGTAAATACCTTTACTGCTTTCATAAAAATATGTACATTAATACTTAAATTCGGTCTTCAATCCCTGCGATAGGCACAGCACAGATATCCCATTGTGTAGCTATGCGGTTAAAATAAACAAGAGAACACAATTCTTGTATATACATAGGTAGCAGAACTATTAAACTACGTCTATTTATTGTTGCAATTCGTTATGTTAACTGTTTTTATCTTGGATAATCGATGAAGAAATATATTTCTGAGTATGTGGTACTGTATAAAACAACAAAGATCGTTTGACGACATTTGTACAAAATTAGTAAAATTCTTAATTTTATAAATGGGGAACATGGATCGTCAAAAAAGTATAGAAACAAGTTGAATCAAAATGTAAGGATTATATTTTCAAATCTACAACTAAGGACTCTAAAAAAAGTACAAAAATAAGGCTGGAAATAGTTTTTACATTATTTTCTCAAAAACAAACCCCCTATTTTGACTCAACTGAAACTGATAAGTACAATTAGGGACAGCTCGCACATATAGCCCTCGATTAGCTTTGCGCGAAATTTAACAAACAAACAAGTAAACAGTAAACATGTCAATCAGTTGGATAGCTAGTTAGTAAGTCTGTTCCCGTGTTATCGGTCAGTTACTGAGTATGTTAGTTAGCCTATATGGAGTTTTGTCACAGATACCAGAAGAAATTTTGCAAGTAAATGACTGCTATTTAGTTTAATTTGTGAGTTAAGCCTATCAACGAAAGTAACCTGTGAAACTACATTTAGTCTATCACTTCAGAATTAGGGATGGCTAGCGCAAATAGACCTCTAGTACATTTTTGTGAATTTCAACAAACAAACTATTTCAAAATACCCCTCCCATAAGGTTGTCATGTTCAAAGCACACCAGCCTTCTAAGCATGGCTGCCTAACGAATAGAAACCATAACAACCTACGTGTCAGGTGTGCGATTATTTTTGGTAAAGATTAAATAGTATGTAAGGAAATCTTCACGATGACAAAATGTGTGATCTAAAAGAATTGATAAAACATTGGAAAGAAGAACGATCAGAAAGAGAACATTAAAAGAAGATCAAGAAAAAAAGAGATAGAAAAGTAGAAGAGAGAGACAGAGGTAAAAAAAATAAAATTATAGAAAAATAAATGAAGATCAAGAGGTAAGAGACAGGATTTTATGAGAAGCATTAAGAGAAAGAGAAGCAAGATTTAAAGAAGAAAAACAAATTTGGTTGAAGACGAGGTCAACTAAGCTATTTAAGACGCCAGAGAGATTACAACAATATTAAAGAAGTACAAAAAGACCTCTATAATCTGAGACAGATTATAATAACAAGCTTGAAGAAATAAACAAGGTAGAAATGAACATCGACGAATCCATTTGGTCTACACCTGTTCATTTATTAGATTTACACAAAGTATGTAGAAAGACTAAGTAAAACCATTTATGCCATGCATTACTTTACGTAAGAAGGACTTAAATAACCTAGTGATAAGATGAAACGTTGTTATGATCTAAATGCAAATAAGGTTGATTTTCATTGTGGTTACATGGTGTGACTATACAATCACCACTACAGGACAGGGCAGTCACCAAAGTTAATTAGATCTTTAGAAGAAACATATCTGGTAGTGAAAAGAATCAATGATGTGATGTACAGAATCCAAAAGGATAGGTAGTCCTAGCCTAAGGCAATTCATCATGGTCATCGATAAAAATGCACCAATGAGAGACTGGTCAACTAGTTAGCTTCAGAGAAAACTTCACTTGTGGTAAGTCAACCTGTTAAAGAGTCTAAGGTTCTTGTCAAGACAGTTTCAGAGAGAAATTTGCCAACATAAAGTAAACCTTCAGAAGATCCCCAGGTTTCTGCAGAGAACACTTCAAGAGTATCACCAAGGATAGTTATCAGTAGATTTTCTCGATCATCTACCTAGAGAGAACTCGTCAAGTAGCAGGACGGAAAGTGAATTTGAAGACAAAAAGTAATCTTATGCTTAGGCCATAGGCTTTGGAATAGAAAACCGCCCAAAATATTTGGTATTTGAACAACTTCGACGCAGTAAACAAAATAATGAAGCTTTTGTTTTGATTATCAAAATTTTTACTGTACTTTATTTAGCAGCAGAAGCTGAGGATTTTCAGATACTAGGTTTTTCACTTTACCACCTACTTTGTGGACATACTTCCCCACTCCCATTGCTCAAGCCAGACAACGTGAACACACATGCTAAGCTCTCCGACTCAACCTCATTATTTTCGGTTACATTAGGAAGGAATGGAGGTTGAGACTGCTCAGATCCTATACAATTGAACTGACTCAGGTTAGGCGATGCTAACTTCACTTTTGACCATTCACCTTTGCCAACGCTTTCATTGTCTTTATTTATGGACTTTCTTCTATTTACAAGTCGTGTCCTAGTTTTTGACGCAAGTTACAAAGTTTTTACTACACGGTTGTTACTTTATGCTTTCCTTAATAAACGCACATCATGTATTTTAATGTCTTAATAATGCTTCTTGTAATGAAACAGTGTTAAGAAAATATTCAGTAAAACTGTTTGCTTATTAAAAATATTTCTTTTACAACTTAATAAAATATTGGATACAACATGTATATATATATATATATATATATATATATTATGTGATATCTAAATCATTGGCTGTGAATTTTATTTATTATTACTGATAATTTCCCCATGCTTAAGAATATTTCAACTAGATCATGTTAGTAAATTTTTAGCAAAATGCTACAAGAAACAACAAGTAAAAGCATGTTGTTAGAACCACCAGGTAAAACTGTTTTTCTGCCTAGCCATAGTTGAGCCTCTGTTACTTTTATCTCTTTCAATGAAAATTCCCTATCTACCTAACATTTCAACATCAAAATTGAAGTCTTCTCTTACTTGTGTTTGTGAAAATATTACTGAAAAAGGCAATGTACCTGTTATTTTCACTAACATAAGCATTGAGTTTTTCAGTAATACTTTCCAGGTAACTAGATGCAAAAATCTAGTGAGCACAAAGTGGCATGCTCCATAGAGTTCTTATCTCTCAGCTATATTATAGGAGTAATTATCTCGAAATTGTGGGTGATATTTTCAATAATAAAATTCTCTGAGTGGCTGAGAAAGCACAGAGTCATTCTTTCAATTACATGCTCATCTTAATTGTTAATCAAGTGGAAATCACACCATGTAGTGCATCACTTGATAGCTTGGAAATCAAGAAACACCATTTCCTTTCTATCATCAGCTACTTAACGTAATGATCATCTTAGCTTTGGATCAAGTAGTGGTTCTGAAATATAAAGCATACATTCTGACAGACATTAACATTACTAACTGATAGCTCAGAAAGCAAAGAATATTACTTCATTTCAGTCCTTGTTTGTACAAACTAAATACTATCTTAACCTTTATCCGTGAGTGCCCACTGTCTCACCTGCCAAGAAAACAGCTCTAACTGTAAGAAGTCGTCCAACAGCAGCACATCAAGTCATTTGCTGATAGTCTGTGGTTTAGATCAGAGCTGGGGTTGAGTTGTTCTAGCTGGCGACTACTTGGGAGTTCTGTGGAGACCCTCACAAGTGGTCTTAGACTCTATAGATACCAATCCACTTCGATGACGATCGGATGTTTTGTATTCACTTCTCTAAACTCTCCCTCTTGGTCAGAGGAGTACTTCTGCATCTAAAATAATTAATTTTTTCAGTAAAATCATTCCTTTAAACTCTTAAACAAAGGCCAGTGTGCACATTAACAAAATCAGAAACTCCACACACAAAAAAATTTGACTCAAAGGTGTCATATGAGGGAGCGAAGAGCAGCTATCCCTAAAGCTCGGAAGGGGATCCAAATGACAGTTTCTGTGAATTATTTCTAGTCAGGCTGGATTAACACATCTATGTAAATTATGCCATAGAATAGGACCTCCATATGAATGAAGAGGCCCATGCGAGGAGATTTCTTTGCCCCCTCCAAGACTTTTGTGAAATGACACTCCTGTCTGTTGTGGCACCCAAATTCTCCTTCCTACCTACTTGTTGCATTTTCAGGCGAATTGATTTTCCTGCAATATCAGATAGTTAGACCAGCTAATAACAGCAAATATTTAGAAATAAGGAGAATAATCCTTCAAGATGAATCTTTGCTGAACTAGTCACGATGAAAGCTAAGTTGAACTAAACCAAGAAAACATGCCTGAATTCAACAGGTAAACTTGGTTTCTTTGTCCAGTCAAGCACCTCTCCTCGTGACATTTGCTCTCACAGCATTGGTTGGTTGTAGATCCAGACATTGTCAATTCGGTCAAGAAAGGATATTACGTCGTTAATCCTTTCCACTTGGATGCTATATTTTACTACAATATCCTCTCGGGCAGAATAAACATTATCTACTATAGAGAACAAAGAAAAAAAAACAACCAGAGTAAGGCAATTTCAACTACTTTCTGGACTCTGTGGTCATGCTAAAACTGCATACAAGTAAATAAACAAAATTTTTAAATTCCTACCAAATATATCTAAAGTACATAGAGAACATATGATATGCTTGCACATTAGAGAAGCATCAACAAGTAATGATTATTTAAGAACAAAACAAAAATATACAACTACCTACCCAACCATAGAAAGATGGGTCGCCAACAGCAAATAACAAATTTTCAAGTTTCACTTTAGATAACATATAATCAATAACAAAGATTTATTTTTATTTTTTTGTATTCTTTTTTTAGGCTCGAAAGAAAGGGCTCAATGCAGTCGAATATTCTATGGTATTTGGGGCGTATAGTATTGCCCAAGTAATCTTCAGCATGATCGCCGGCAAATTTGTAAGTAAATTCACGTATTGTTGAATCTTGTATTTAATGTTTGTTTCTGTCACTGGTCGATTCGTTATATATATAAAAAATAAACTCCAAAAATACTTAGTCTAATTAAAAAGTAGATTTGAAACTGAAAGGCTACAACAAAAGTTGATATCACATCTACAAAGGTCTGTTTTCAAAACACGTAATTAAGTATACCGTTCTTGAACACCACAGTGTCACATATATAAACATGAAATAGCTTGCTCTATTGTAGAAAGTATATATACCTCTATCATTAAGTTTAACTGCTTATAATCAGTAAATAAAGATATGCAATCGAGATGCTATTATGTTCATATTATAACCAGATTTATTATGACGCAATGTCTGTTATTTTACTCAGTTTATATTATTTGCTATTTTTTTTATAACAAGAGATTAAGCTTTGTGTTCATGTAATGCAACTGAGTTTTAATAGAACCAAAAATCAGCAAGAGTTGGCGTGAAACTTAAGTATTAGATTACATGATTGTAGAAGTAATAATGTTAATGTTACCAACTTTAGGGAACGCTTTTTAAATGAAATTGCGCAGCTTTGATTAAAACCTATTATAAATCTATAACATTTTCTGTTCTTTCTTGAAGACAATTGATAGTTAATTTAATTAGTCTTAAAAAAATTTATGACTATTTAAAATTTCTAGGGTTATTATGAGATTCGAAAGTATCCAATAGATTTTACTTAAGTCTACATTTTTTGGCTGTTGTAGCAGATTAACTTGTGTAGCTTCCCAAACAGTTTTTAACTTAAGTCATCGAGTTTTCGCAAATATTTCAAGAATAAAAATGTTTTTAAGGCTTTCAAACGCTCAGAAGTATACAATTCAGTATTTATTTCATAATAATGTGAGAATACAGATGAATAGTGAGTAATTTAGAGCTAGGGTATATATTACCCTAGGGTGTCCCAAAAAAACAATTTTTCTTTAAATGTCCTAATTTTCGGACCTAATGCCATTATGTGGATCATAACTAAGCTATTAAGACCAAAATTAGCGTAATTGAAGAAAAAAACCATTGCCTCAACGGCCTTTTTTGTTCAAGGAAAAAAAAATAATTTTTTATTTTTTAGGTTTTTTTCGAATTTACTTTTCAAAGTCAAAATTTGATTAAAATACATGTGTGATGGCTCAAAACGTTAATTACACACTAAATAATGTTATCTAACTTTAAACAATAAACATTAATGTTAACGTTTGCTGTGATGTGCCTCAAAATGTATCTATTTTCTCGTCTTTTATAAAATTTGTAAATTATTTTTGGAACACCCTAATATTACCCTTCAACAGCTAATGCAGCTAATTTTATGTCTCTCCATAATTTTATAAGTATTATCGAAATGGTGTATTTAAGTGTTTTACACTCACAAATGTTTAAACAACTCTATTCAATTATAAGTATTATGTTTTTGTTAAAATTATGATTAGGTTTTCTCATTATTTTTAAATACGTTTCTAGAACTTTAATTTCTTATTTTTTCAGCTTACTAAAATCGGACCCAAGTTTATCATTGTTGCAGGATTGTTTTTGACAGGTGGCGCTACAGTATTATTTGGGTATGTTATTTATCTTTGATATTCAAGTGCAAGCTCATCGTGTTGCATGAAATTGTGAATTACCTAATCCTGATAAAATAGCTAAAACATTTTTTAATCACAGGCTTGTATGCTTTGTTATCTATAAATATTTTACAAAATATTTAACCATTAAAAATAAAAATATTATATTTCTTACCAAAAATATTTCGAGAATAAGTTAAAATAATTAGATTTTCTTAAATCACATTTTGTCCAGGAAAAAATTAGCAAAACCCAGGAAATATTTAAAGTCTCATTATTTCTGTAATAAAATTCACTTACATTTCTCAAGTTTTTATCTTTAAAAATCTTAGTTTAACACGACAAACTATTAACTTGTAACAAATTAGTCAATTATACACAATAGGGTCAAAGTCACTGGGCATTTCTTGATTATAATAGCGCAGATTAGAAACTGTTGTGTGCAATATAGTAATAACTTGGCTTACACGTCTTTAATATTATATACCTCTAATTTGCTCAACTATTCATAAACATTTGTTGTGCCTACGCGAGTGTTTGCTACAAATAAAATTAATTCTTATGAAGAAATTTTTTTCATAAGTTTTTGAGATAATTTTTTCGTTGTGGTTGTAGTTTGCTTATTGCACGAATGTTTCAACATCTTTGTACAAGCAGCTAAGGTTTCTTTGAAAATTATTTTTCAGTTGTCTTGAACATTCACCACAAGGAAGAGTTTTCCTGGCTCTCAGTATTGTAATTCGAATGGTAGAGGGCGCTGGTTTCGCTGCGTACTTAACCAGCGTCCTCGCTATTGTTGTTAAATCTTTTCCCACCAATCCTGGATATTATGTCGTGAGTTTTTTATTTCATGTTTATAAAGCTAATCGATAGAAAATTAAAATTAAAATATGAAACAAATATAAAACAAAAAGTAAAATGAACAGGTGAAATACTCATAGACAATCATGGGAAAATTCACTTTCAGTTTTAAACGCAAAATATTTTGATCAATTACTGTAACTTCTATATATTTTAGCTAGTATGTTTTGGCTTTAAAAACAGTTGCAAGTTTCATGACCCCATTCTAGACAGATTATTATGTATTCAAAAAAATAAAATTTTTATAATGATTTTAATAGCTAATGAATTATATTTCAAGTTTTTATTTTAAGTTTCTTGATGGCTAAAGTCTTCTTCTTTCTTAGATCTTCTATTCATCTGCAGTCTCATCACATTTTTTTCTTGATGCCTGCAGATGAAAAGAACTTTGGAATAGCATTAGTTCCAGCAACAAGCAAGATGTAATAATTTAAAAAAAAAGTTTAACTATCACCATTAAATCAAAGAAAAAACTAAGTAGAAACGTGGAGCTAGATGTCAATGAACTACACATTAGAAACCATTCTGAAAGAAAGAAGTACACAAAGGAAGACAAAAGTATTGTGTGTAGTCGCTTTCTTGTCAAATCTAGAATTCTGGCAGTGTTTTGGAGAAAAAGATGTATATATATGTAGTCATTACGCTGTAGAACTAGTTTGTTTGTAGTTAAGCACAAAGCTACACAATGGGCAATCTATGCTCTGCCCACCACACGTATCAAAACTCGGTTTTTAGCGTTGGAAGTCCGCAGAAATACTGTTGTACTACTGGTGAGCTGTAAAAGTAGTATTTTACAGTGAATGATTTTGTAAAAGTTGCTAGTTTTTTGCTGCTAGTAATTTGTTATTGAATATCTAATACGATTTTTAGATCACATGCATATATTATCACGCAATAAATGGCCATCAGATATTCTTATTATCTAATTTTCCCCCCACAGTGCTAAAGCGTAGAATACCTATTATCTCTCTGATCAAGATAAGGAACAATGTTTGAAATTCTAAAAGACATATTTTTGTCTGTTAACAAGAAATACGTATTTATCATCACGTGTTCAAATATAAGTAAGTAATTACAATGAAAACTCTTGTATACCAAACCTAAGACATTTAGTTCCTTTGTTTTAATTTCAGGGTCTTACAGAAACAGTCGTAACAATAGGTATGATCACAGGACCTGTTATTGGAAGTTTCCTTTATGTGGTAAGTTGAATAGATAGATATAAACTTTAATTTGATAAAAGCCAGCATTTAATTTTAGCTAAACAATTGTTTTGAAAAAGCTAACATGATTTATTAATATTGTTATAAATTCAATAATCAATTGTAACTTCCTTATAAATGCAAATACAAATGCTGATGTTATCAGTCAGTGAGTAAGTGTCACGTGTTATTGATCGATTACTGAGTGTGTTAATCAGCCAGTTTTAAGTTTGTGACTGTTTAGTTTTATTTGTGAGTTAAGTCTATCGCTCGCTGACCTTATTGAATTTGTGATAGAAGAAATAAAACGTTTCCTCTTCATTAAGCATACTGAACATTGCATTATTTCTACTGAATAATAAACAAAAAATAATCCTCCCAGGGATAGAGACGATTAACATTAATTATTTCAAATGCAGGATGGCGACAAGTCCAAATGGTCATATAGTCACCTACTTTTATATATGATTATTAATTTAAATTAAAATCTACATGAATTTGAATATTACACATACATGGGACGTAAAGTTAATTTTAATAAATATATATTAACATATTATTTCTTCATAGATTTAAGAAGTAAAATCTTAATTTTGAAAGCTTTCTAAATTGTTAAAATTTATGCGCTTTAAGTTACTAGGTATCTTAGGCTCTAATGTAACTTCTCTAAGACCTAAATAAGTAAGACATTGAGTTAAATATGAGTCATCGCAAGTAGCTGGAAAATTAGAAATAACATTTTATTGTTAAATTTATACATGCATTTTGTCAATTTTAATGTACAAACACCACTGATTTTCGGAATATTTGAAATCAAGTAGTATGGTTTTTACATGGTTCATCCTTGATTCAAAGTTTATATATTTTATTATGAACAATACTGACTGAATGTAGATTTGTAATATAAGCTGACTCCCTGCTCATAATTACATAATTAACATAAAGATACACAAGTGCATAATAAGCCATCTGTAAAATTTCAGATTTAACCTAATAACAGTAGTTTTGACAATGTAGTACTTGACCAAAATGTTTGCATATTTTGTAACAAATAAGATCATTATTATTAAGATGAAAATAAATACCCTTATCATTGTCAAACTGAGAAATGTCTGTTATATTAGACGTCTACAAATGTAATTTGTATAATGAGACAGGTTTTATGGACACCATGAACAATTTATTAGAACAACAAACAATTTTATCAGAAAGATGTGTAATTCAGCATTTCACTTATCACAACAGAACCTTACCAAAACATATATAATGAAAAAATATAACACCAAATTATTAGAAATAGTGTCTGTAACCTTATATCAGTTCATATTAAACATTCAGTACTTTTTGGTTCTCTTCGTACTCTAATAACCTCGGCAAGGCGACGTGACATGCTGTCGATGAGGTTATTGATGTAATTCACCGTGATTTCATGCCAACGTTTCACTAGAAGGCGCTACAAATCAGCTACAGTAGCTAGTTTAGGGTAGTAGTTAGCAATTTTTCGGCTCAGTTCTGCCCAACAGTTCTCAATGGGATTATATTCTGGAGACTTTTCTGGCCATGGCAATCTTATAACGTCCTCCTGGTCGAGATAACCCTGCACAATACGCGCACTGTGGGCATGTCATGCTGGAACGCAAAGTCATTGCCAAACCTTGCCTTAGCATATGGCAGAAATATCTTTCCATGTGATGCCTATAGAATGCGCCATTGACGTTTCTCTGGGGAATATGAAGAATAGTTTTTCTATTACGATGAATGGCTGATCAAGCATGTACTGCGCCATTTACCACCAGCTTTAACAAACTGGAAACAGAACTCAGTGTCCTAAACGTAAGTTGGCATGCTTTCTTGGCAAAATAGCACCCTAACGACGATGAATTTTCGTTAATATGGGTTTGCAGATAGCCCTTCTTGAAAAATAGCTTTGTTTGATCAGTCTCCTATTTACCGTTCTTCTGGATACTCTGAAATGAAAGTGTTGATATCATTTCTGTCATAAGGTCATAAGACTTAAGTCATAAGACATATTTCGACCTTGACGTGTTAACCTGATCAAAACACGGTCATCTCGGGCAGCAGTTTTCGGCGTCTACAAGTATACTTTTCTGGAACAACGTCCGATGACGTTTCGGGATTCTGGATACAGTATACTGGAGGTACCCTACTGTTCTGGCAATGTCCGTTTGCTTCATACCATTTCTGAACAGTCGAACAATGTGAGGCCCTATAACTTCTGACACGTGACGAAACATGACTCTACTGAGAGAAATTATCTGAACAAAACGTTGATCTGTTTCGAAAAATATTATTCCAAAAGCACGCCATTTATTTACAAAACAGGTGTGTATGTGTATTTTGACGAACAAACGCTCAAACAATTTATACATACAAGAATAACAACTCGTACATGTTTGTCGATCATACGCTACTTTCTCTGTTACTACTCGGGCATTTACTCAATAACTGCATGTAGACAATAACATCAGTATAGAACAGTATGCAAACATTTTGGCCAAGACTTTATGTAGGTTGTTTCTAATTTAATTTATAATCGATAGTGACTGACTCAGGTATTTGATGTAGGTGGTTTGTTCAGTAACAGTTTATTTAATTTTCATCTCAACGAGATTTGTATTTATTTTCATTTGACAAGATTATTTATGTACTAAGGTCTATTTATCTGCGTTAAGTATTTTCCTGTTAACTGACTATTAGTTGTAAAACCATTAAGTTATTACTATTCATAAATGAAATGGTATCATAGTCTAATGTTAAATGAACTAGCATTTACTAATTCATATATAGAAATATAAAATAAGAATGGTCCTACGGTAGGTTCTTGTGGAACTCCACAATTTATATTGTTACGACAGCGGAAGTCACGTGACGCAGGTAACACGTAATGAGTTCTAGAAAGTTCGGGGAACATCACGAATAACCCAGTATTTGCTAGGCGCCCTCTATTCTTGTATATAAGTGCGCCAGACAATAAATCGGAATAGAATTGCAGACAGGCAGAGATAGAGACGGACAATTGAGTCAAGCGCGGTAGGAAGTAAAGTGCGTGAATCATTCTTTGTGAATTATAGCGTGTGTTTAAGTAACAGCGTGACTGTGGAAATTAAGTGTATTGCAAAGTTGTATTGAGAAAGAAT